AGTGGCCCTCTAAAAATTATGTACAATACGGATGTTAAAACTATGGCATAATTATGAGATAATATAACGAATAAAAATACAATAGATAAGAGATAAAATGAATTTAAAATACAAGGAGCGACTAGGAGTATTTCTACTCCTCCCTAGATTGGATGCTAGTCCATCGCAGGGTTACCCCCAGCATTAAGTTTGCCATTATCCAGTTATACAACTGGATGGAGAAAGGCACTGTGAGAGTAAAGTGTCTTGCCCAAGAACACAACACAATGTCCCGGCCAGTTCGGGCTTGAACCCGAACCGCTGGATCGGAAGACGAGCGCACTAACCATGAGGCCACCGCGCCTCCTGACTGCTTAAGCCAAATTTAAACTCCAAACCGTGCAAAGCATTACCGACGCTACCAGCACGGGCGATTACAGGGGAATGTGAAGGAATAACAGCATGTTTTGCATGAGCTAATTGCTTATGCAGTGAATACCAAGTTTTCATTTATGTGCAATGGTTGATTGTCAGATGGCGGTGGAGTGGCGTCTCCAATTTGTACCCCAAAGCACATTCCTGTGTAGCAGACCAACAGACGGATGATATCAGTTTCACGTCACAGATACACAACACTGAGTCACGGAGCTTGGTGTATGAGAAAGGCAAAGCGTATGTTGTAGTGACGGCAGGAGGGTGCTACTGGTGAGAATTTTTGTTAACGCTTTTTCAGAATTTTATTTTCATGTTAGTGCAATTAGTATAAAACCTGACCTAATGGAATATCTCTGACACTTCCGTAGAAACTTCAAACTGTTTACAGGTATAGCGGGTTAACGTTTAACGTGACGTAACACTAGTGGAGATTCCGGGTTTTAGGCAGGCTCCTGGATAGCTAATATGTAGTCCTGCAAAGTGTTAACCTACGAAACGGTCTCGTTTTCTAGCGTTTGTGATAACATTTGGATCACATAACACGTGGTAGTATGTATCACTGTACAGTGGAACCCAGCCTTACGGCCACCTCGTTATTACGGCCACTTTATTCTGTCCCGAACAAGGACTCAGACAGTCTTTTAATTATATCAAGAGTTGAAGCAACCTTTGGGGAAATTAGCAGATCACTCCAGCACTCTCTTGTTTGGTTACTTCACTTTTAATTTCCATTGATCCCTCTGGTACGGTTGTCTCAACGTTCTTCTATTTCTGTTCTTGACTGATAACAACAACTATTACCACAACTAGGAGTTCACTCGTCACGTTCCTTTTAAAGGGACAACCACATGATCCATCAAAACATTGTCAAACTGTCAATTAGGCTAGGGTAATGTCATGCGCAGTTCGCATAAGGTTCTATTGCGACTGCTCACAAAGCCACTTAGCATATTTTCCTTCGAGGTTATCGAGGTTTTCTATCTTGATTTTAACCGACTCTTCCTAAGTGGTTGACCAAAATAAGGTAACGTGAGTATTATAAAGGTTACAATCTTGGTTTTTATTGATTAAAAGTTTAGGATAACACTTTAGTTTAGAAGTAAAGGTTGGCAGGCTCGTGAGTTTTAACTGTACAATATTTTTACCCTTAGTCTTTTTTATATTATAATATTTTGTACACCTTTGGTGTCTGTTTAAAATAGGTTCGACTGTATTAGAATCCATTGTTTGTTCCACGATGTACTCACTCGAGATATAGATCACGAGTTATTGATTGCTTTTTGGTAGTGATCTTCCTCTGGCGAACATTAACTTCCCTATTATTTCCACGTTATCCATAGGCTTATAATGATGTATTTTTTTTCATGACATTCTTCTCAGGGTATCAATCGGTGCGTTTTCCAAAAAGACTTCAACACCGCCTTCTTTGCAAGTCACTATAGACGAAGAAGCCGTACCTCTGGTATGATACCATTTGTTTTAGTTTATAAAATAATAGTTGCACTCGGGCAGCTTGCCTAATTTGCTGTATCTTGTACCGGTTTCCACAGTGCACAAAGCGACTAGAAGTCCTGCTACCCCCCCACCCCCAGCATTTTGTCAGGTTATCCCAACATATCGCTTGTAGCCATTTAAGACCCTCATTCAATCTCCTGAGTGGAGAGGGAGGGGCACATTGGGAGAAAAGTGTCTTGCCCAGTTGGTAACATTGGTTCTCTTACACACGTTTAAACGACGAAGACGAAGGCTGCAAATATTCTTTTTAGTAGACCTTTGTCACGGTATTTTTAGATGCTGATGTAGTGCAGACAATGAAAATCGACTGACACCTCAGAAAAGATTACCTTGAAGTTTGAATTATTGCCAAGTTTGCACGTCATGTCAACGTTACACGTCTCCCATGCAATCATTCTTCGCTATCTGTAACGACATAACTTTCAAACTGGCCCATTTTACAAAGTTAAAGGTGATCTTTCCAGAGGTGTCAATGGATTTGATTACCTGGCCTGCATCAAACCTAAAATACCATGACAAAGTTCTAGTCCTATACAGTTGTTTAGATTTAGTAAATAAAGGCACTCGTGTGTTACTTTGTGATTCTTTTGTAATTCATTCGCAGTTTAACAGTTCCGGTAAGTCACCAAGTCATCACAGGATAAGCGTCATTTCCTCTGCTCCGAAATACCAGCCTCCCGCGGGCAGATTAAAAGGGGAAGGAGCCACACCTTGGAGACCTGGTGAGGAGCCACACCTTGGAAACCTACCCCCGGGGGCGGGGTACTCCCAGAAAACCTTACCCCACTTACGACCAAATTCTGCGATTTTTGCTACCCTATTTATGACCTGGCCAAAAATTCGGTAGCCTATTTATGACCGTTGCGACTGGCACAGTTGCCCTAAACATAAGTTATGAAGGGCTTCTGTGGACGGTCTTATTGATAACGATAAAAAAGTAGCTTCTTCTAAGAAACATACCCAATTCAAGACCAGAGTGCTAAAACCATGCCTTAGTTAAGACCAAAATGGCTAAAATCGATACCCTATTTATAAAACCAAAATGGCTGAAAAACCCTACCCTTTACCAAAGTTTGGGGCCGCACATACCTATACAGCCCATATAAGGGAGTAACCCCGCCCCCCTTGAGTTTTGCACTCTTTTTCACACGGAGGCAAAATGCAACTCGTAAATGTCCTAAAGACGGATTCACTTAACTTGTTTACACGCTTGTTGGCACCCAATTCAGATCATGTGATGAGTCATTTGGGAGGTTACAATTGTGCAATTTGCTACACGCAACTGATTACACGGGAGTATGTACAAACAGAACAATTGTAACTCCCAAATGAATCATGACATGATCTGAGTTGTGTTGCAACAAGAATGTAAACACGTTGGCTGAATCCGTTTATTGGGCTGGCATTGTGTTGAAACAATAAACATCGACAGTACGTGTGTACATTTCTAGGCCCATTTATCCGAAAGCTGACTACCGCAAATCCAGGATTAAAAGTTAACTGAAGTTTTGAGTCCTTTACTGTTCAAGTGACGTTGCTGATGCTTTGTAGAGTTTGAAATCAAACGTGAAGGGCAAAACTACAAAGAAAAAACATCACTAAAAAGTACCAAAACTGAAAGCAAACTTCATGCTAACCCTAGATCGGCTTAAATCATGCTTTGCACAACCAAACCTTGGACGGGAATTCTGAAAGTGTTCGATTGTTTAGTGAAACGAGGAGGCATAGACCTATTGAGTAATTTTTTAGTGCTGTAATTTATTTTACTTTTATTATTTGAACTATAGAAGCATATCCTATAAGCGGCCTTTCAAGCTATAGGCATGGTGAATCGTTATGTGAAACTTCTGTTCCGGTTCTTTGCAGGTTCAAGTCTTATCGGCGCGGTAATAATTCCCGCACACAGTAGAATAAGTATCAGTCCCACAAGCACGGCACCGGGAACACGAATGAGCGTGGAAGGATATCTGGACCTGATAAAGATGTACTGACCCCGCAGGCGGCACGACAAACAACCGTTAAACAACTTAGTTTCTGTCATTCTCAACCTCTTTCGGACACGACGTGGTCAAACCATGTTTGCAAACTTGGCCAACATAGATTTTCTCTGCTGTTGAAAACTAAGATGTCGGCTGCCTCCAAGTTGCCGCCATTCGGTGTTTGAGTTTTACGACAGGGAAGAGCGGTCCTGCTAGTGAACTTTGAAAACCTGTGCAACAGTCAATGTTGGCTTATAAGTAATTACCGTTTTCCCGCACAGTCAGTCAGAAGGCTGAAATAAGTACACCTTTCTCTCTTCGCCTCCTTCAGTAGACAGTTTTTACTGTAGCAACATGTAAATATCTC